CTGAGGGGAAACTGTAAGGTTAGCGTGTGCGGGGGAGCCCTGATATGCCATACTGGAACTCTTTGTAAGGTGATAGTTAGCAAGAGTTGAGGAGGAGCAGTTGTGGTATGGTAAAAGGGTACTTGTTGTGGAGTGATGGCTTCCATCACATGGGGCATGGGTAGGCAACTTCTGGGGAAGGGCACCCAGACTGGATGTATATGGAAATATTGAAATGATAGTACAGGATACTGATGAGAATTGAAGAGAATGTCCTATAAATGGTACAGATGATTGAATGCTGGATGAAAAGTGAAAGTATTGACTACCAATACAGAGGGCAAACTAGGATTGGAAAGGATAATGAAATATGGTTTTCAGAATATTCACAGAACTGAAACGAAATAAATGAGACAAAATATAAGAGTGTATGAAAGACCTTGGCTGGAGGAATTACATAGACATAAAAAACAAAGTAAAAAAAAAAAATGAAATAAGGTAAATGGGTTTAAAAGGGTATGAAGTATGAAGAGCTGTTACAGATAGAAATAAAATGAGAGACAATTATGAAGTTGTACTGAATGTAATACTAAAAGATAACAATTTTCATCATAGATTACAAAACAGAAACACAAGAGATGAGTCAAGAGTACAGAGACCTGCAGTTAAAGTACCCACAGCCAGTTTTATATCGTTCTCAGGACATGCAGTTTCTTCATTAAGACCCTTCTTGCTTGTACAGTTGGACATTCAGGAAAAAAAAATTAAGTAGTGTTATTGAAAGGAAGATGCTCACTGTAGCAGTGAATGTCAGACTGAACACAGACTGTGTAATTTCTTCATCATTCATTTTGTAACCAGAAGCAACAGTAATCTTTGCAACAGTATCATGCACAGCAGTTAGGCCAGGAGGAAGAATATAGTGATCAGTCAGGTTTACAAGAGTTAATTATGCCACTTTATTTGAAATGTTAATACTTGAACCGATAGCATACAACACTTATTTGAATTTCAATGACAAGAAATGCATTTCTCCTTTATCACTGGAAGCCAATGATTATACAAATGTACATAGCCTTTATCTTGAGCAAGCCATGTCCTGTTGCTTGACTGTCTGTATGAGAACGTTAAAAACTGACTACAATGACACCCTATCTCAGGTCATCCAATATACTAAGATACTGTAACAAAGTTAAATCTCATTTCTTTTATAATGATAAGACTTATATTTATCACAGTTAATATACATTTAGAGTGACCTAAACTACTGAAATACGCAGACTTGCAAGTTAATATACATTTAGAGTGTCCTAATCTACTGAAGAACGCAGCCTTGCAAGTTTAAAAGTTTTAAGTCTAGACTAAAATTTTACTCGTTAACCTCGCCTACATTACCACCTGGAGTGTTGCCACTCCTATCACAATGTTACTCTTGGTTTATCGGCATGTTGGTTCGGGGACTTTAATCACGTTACTAGCAACAGCTACGTCATGAGGTTGGGGTTAACCATTTAATAGACTTTCAGGAGATGATTTATTGATTCAGTGTTGTTACTTCTGCAGGATGTTTTACATCACTATTCTTTTTCAATTTACACTTACTATGTTCCAGTTTGGTTACTCTTTTATATTTCTGCCTAGATGTGAACTACCACCGAAGCATGAAAATCTCACATCTATTTAATGAAATTATTATTCAAGATTTAGACGCCCTATCAGTGATGCGTATGTCGACAGGCCGAACATTACCTACAATTTATGTTACTGCTACTCCCAGAACTCATGCACAAGTATATCGTAATGTTACCTGAGCACAGGATCATAATTTTGTGCGGGACTCACTCTCAGATGTTGCCAAGTGGCAAGCAAATATTCTTTCAACTTCTGGGACTCATCTGTGGTTGTACTGTTACAAGAGTAGGAGAGACCCTCAACATTGATTATGTTAGGGTCACTCCAAATACTCTCATCATTGCTGCCAACCACATATACCGTATCCTCCTCAAGGCGGTAAACAGTGTTGCCGCATCTAAGAAACGTCTGGTCACGGTTCGCAGGCTGAAGGACTTTACTAGAGGGAAACCATGAGGGAGACAGGTTAACAAATGGACTGGGTGATTGTGGTGGAGGTGAGTCAACATGTGACCAGCTGGGAGCGAAGAAAGTAATGGATCTCTCTGAATTCCATATTAGGGAATCTCATCATTAACGTTCATCCACCTCAAAGAAGGCAGAAATCAAATTGTACTAGCTGTAAATTCAAAAACACCCAGTTCCAAGAAGACCATAATAGAGAATGCTTGAATAGAGATTTAAAAACAAAAATATGATATTCAATAAAAATAAGTCCAGCTGACCATCTAACTTGCCAAACCAGAGACAAGATGTATTATCATATAAAAAAGTCAAACACACACTCCTATCTAAAAACCACTTAACAGATTGTGTTACTGTAATTATAAAAGATGCAGTAACACCTAAAAAGTTATAAAAAAGGTATGAAATAGTATCTGCAGATAAGAGTACTGTTATTGGTAACAGAGTACTGGTTCCAGTACTAAGTTCCTTAGGTATATCAAAGGAACACTTCAGAAAAGGTATCCTTTTCCTTCATACGAAAGCTTAAATGTAAATTTCTGAGTGGCAGTCCTCATGATCAGTCAATAGTGGTAGCAAACTCCTTGCTGATTTATATTAATCTCTGATTGCAACTGCACTGCCTGCACAGCCACGAGGGAGGTACAGTTCAACTTTTCAAAATCTGTTTGTTCTGTAGTTTTTCTTTTGAATTCTACCTCACTCTTTGCTTGTAATGCACCTTCAAAAATACTGCAATCTGATGTGTAGTTTACAATAGCATAGAAATACAAAGTATAGACAAATTTACTTCCTTAGGTGATTTTGAGAATGTTTACTAACATGCAAGGGGTCCCATATGCAGGACCTACCAATATTCTGTAAACTACCTAAAATAACATGCCAATTTGATGCTCTCGGCTTACTCATATTGAGAAACTGTGCAGCACTAGGCAGATTTGAGCTTATCTAAAAATATATATCAGTTTAATACTACCCTGCAACATATGAATAACAATCTAATGCTCTATCTTGGCATCTCAAGCAGCTGGCAGTGAAAAAAAAGATACTTCCTTTTGATGGTATACATATGTAAAAAAAAAGAAAAAAAAAAGGAAAAAAGGGAAAAAGAGAGAGAGATAAAAAAAAACTAAGAAAAAAAAGGAAGACAGAAGGAAAAAGAAAGAAGAAGAAGAAGAAGAAAAAAAAAACAATGTCTGTAAGCTATTTCTATTCAATAAAATGAAGACTATACAAGCTCTGCATGATGTAAAGCAACGCTAAGGCCAAACATAAATACAATAAAGATTTACAGCGGTGACATAACAATTCAGGACTCTTTGACGCTTAGTTCTCCACAGCTCAAGACCTATACACTACAGTCTACCTCCAAGTCTGAGCTTGAAAAAATTACGCCTTTCTCTCTGTGCAGGAAAATTAAGCTTGAAAATCTATGCAGTTCCCTATCTAACTTTGTATTTACGAGGAAGAAAGAGAGAGAAAAAATATATACAAATATAAACCGCCTGGTAACTTTGCATCTCGTAGATCCAGTAGATATACAATCTCTATAATTTTCCAACACAGATCAAGAGTCCAGCTTTATTAGAACTGTCTTAAATAGGCATAGAGAGATGTAACAGCATCAATGGCATGCCGCGTTGTGCAGTTTAAACCCTCTAAGGGGAAAGAGCACAGCATTAAAGGGACTAATTATTACTCCTCCTGGAATAGTCAATGCATTCAATGTTTATAGACAAGACACTTTTGGGGGGAGACAGGGCATCACCATGTTAACTACGTGGAGGGGAATCTGAGGGAACACAAATACCTGGTGGTGAGGTCGCGGCTGCCACACAGTACGGGGGAGGAGAGAGATGGGAGAACACAGGTTAGTTGAACCGCGTCGAAACCACAACATGGGAGGTGGGGCTAGAATGTATTGACAGTGTTGCCAAGGATGGGCTACCTGCATTATCTTTGATGGACAAATTTTTTTTTTCTCTCAAAGTCAGGGGTTTAGCTTCTATATAATGCAGGGTTTATTACCTTGTTAAAACGCCTCCTGGAACATGAATCTTTAAAACCAAAAGTTATAGGAAGAGAAATTATTAACAACAATTTCTGACATTGGCAACACTGATTAATATAGTTACAACAAATCAAAAGGTGAGTTGACTGACAACTGACGTCAATTGATTAATATAGAAGTGAAAAGAGATGAGGCAGCAAAATCTGATTAAAAACAGTGATAGTTAAAGTTAGTGAAAATATCAGTAATAACTTAATCTGTATGTAAGAGGACACAAATGACACAAATAAACAGAACATATAAGTCACAAAGAAAGCCTAAAATACCATAAAAATAACAAACTGTACAACAAATGAACAAAATGAGGAATGCAGGTACAGTAAAGATTCAAGACAACTACGCAAGATCAGTAAACAAGTAAATACAAGTTACTGAGCTAATAGTTTTACCATATTTCCATACATTATAAACACCACTAACAAACACGATGACATATCCAGACAAGAGCCATTTATGCTGCATTACGAAACTCGTGCCGGATTACTATCAGCTTACCACCACAGCTGTCCCGCCACCAACCACTCATTACCCGGCCTGAGGCACCATGCACGCTGGCAACAAACTAACGTGCATGGCAGCTAGCAAAAGGCTAAATACCACTGCACATGTTATGATCTACGGCAACGTTTAAACATCTATCACATAACACACTGCATATTTATGATTTTCAAGGTTCTATATTCATATCTTTATCCATCTATCTATTTGTGTGTGTGCTTGTGCTTGTGTGTGTGTGTGTGTGTGTGTGTGTGTGTGTGTGTGTGTGTGTGTGTGTGTGTGTGTGTGTGTGTGTGTGTGTGTGTGTGTGTGTGTGTGGGTGTGTGTGAAGATAGATATGAATGTTACTCAATGT